GGTGAGAGAGCGCCCTGCTGCCCCCCGGCTCCTGAGAGAACCAGAAATGAAGCCTGGAGGCCGGCAGGGCCTCGCGGGAGACCTGTCCCCACCACGGCAACGCCACCGCCACACCGCCCCCTCCGGCCTGCCTCCCCGCACGGGACGGCAGCTCCCGCAAACCTGCCCGCATAGCACTCGGCGGTAAGGCAAAGATGTCTCAAGGAGCTGCCCTGCCAGCTTCGCAGCCTTGCTGTTTCTAGCAGCGCTTACAAGCAGGCAGCTGTGGAGGCATTAAGGGAACGTACAGACAGGGAGAAACTGCCCTCCAGCAGTGCTGTGGACCTACACAGGGATATCCAGCCCTGCTGAGGAGATGCCCACGGGCAGTTCCAGGCATGACTACCAGCGGGTCTAATTCTGTTGTTTCTTCATGCTTATGAACTTTCCAAAACAGTACAAATGTCTCATTTCTATTGCATGTGCCCAGAATGCCACGTCAGGCTATGGGCTATTGTTGTCTATAAATGGGAGATGTGTTACCTGAGGATGCAGGCACACTATTGCTGCTTTTGGCAAGTGAAATATTAGATACTAGATATTAAGTGTTAAGGCAGATGCATTTCAGTGATGCGGGAGAAGAGGAAGGAGCAACAAAGGAGAGGGAAGTGCACAGGGAGAACAGAAAGATTACTGGAGGCAGGAAGAAAAAACAGCTGCTTCCAGAAAAACTAGAGCACGAAGCTGGCTCTGGTAAGGGCAATGGCATACAACATACTTCCTCTGAGAAAGCTAAGGCAAATTTTTTTCCCCAGTTATCAGCTTGGATGAGTTACCTTCAACTTAAATTCACATTCAAAGCAGACCCAGCCTTACCACCATCATTTTTCCACAGCTTGTAATCCCATACAACAACAGGAGGCCAAGACCTCTAACTGAGGTTAGAGGAAGGTGTTAAAAGGAAGCAGCTCTCATGCTCTTGCTCACTATCATCCACCAAGAAAACCAATAGCTTATTCTTTGATGTTCTTTGTTCTCCGAGCCGTTTAACAAAACAAACTTGAAACACCAGCATCTTCACCTGTAAAGTAACCTAACTCACATCACAGCTTATTGGATGTTCCAGATGGCTTGCCCGTGAGGTGTTTGTGGAAGAAAGCTTGGATCTGCTGCCAAGCATCTATCTGTGCCTCGCAGTGTGCCTTGGGCTCCCCTCCCCACACCACAGGCCTGCCAACTAGCAGGTGCATTGAGGCTGCACACATTGGGAAAAAGGGGGGTTCAATGTAGTGCCCTGCCCCAGGATAACAGACTATCTCAGGCTTTTCCTTCCCGTGAGCTTGCAAACGTTTGCTCCCCTCAACTGCAAAGAACTCGCTTTTCCAGTTGCGATCATCCTGGCCAACGATGAACAAGAAGCGACACTCGGCCTTCTCCAAAGGGATAAAGCTTTGGTGATCAGGCCCTTCTAGGGGGTTGTTCAGTACATCGACAATATCAGCAATCCCAGACTTGGTGAACTTGATGCGTTTTGCATTGACACCAAGGGGTGGAATGGTGATGTCCTTGTAGCGGAGCACTGCGCCCACATTTGCCACTGAGCTGTTGATAAGGATGGTGGCCGTGATGCCCTTTAGGAAGGAGGCCATGGAGATGCATAGGTCACCCCCCTTTGAGATTCCAAGCAACCCAATCCCCGGACCTTCAACCTGGAGGGAAGAGAAGAGATACCACAAGCAATGAACCACGGCACGCCACTTCTTTAAAATGTTGCCATGTTTGCAGCAGTGTCTGTCCTGAATCTGGACCCCAGGTATAGGCATCTAAGGTCCTGTGTGCAGGGCCCACGTCTAAGGGACCCTGGGGCACTGCTCCGTGCTTGATTTATGATCATAAGCCCTGCTGAGACTGCAGCATCATCCTAACAAAGCTACAAGGCTCAGTGCTGAAGCATGTGCAAAGCATACAGCTGTGCTTGCAAAAAGCATGCAGATGTGCAGCCCCAGATTCACTTTGCTTATAAGGCAGTTCAGGGAAGAAGAGGGAAGGGGCAGGGGAGGCCTCTTCTACAAATGCTTTCCTTCAGTGCAAAATGCTCGAAGTCGGCAATGACTATGATACTGTCATCAGTTATGATAACGTATTTCTTATATTCAACCAGTCTTCGATTACCCTATTAAGAAGCTAACATGGGGTAGCAGACTCCACATTAGCTGCTCTCCCGTTTCTCTAGTACGCTTGGCGAGTTACAAGGAAGTATTCTGAGGTAGCTTACTCATTAAAATGTATGTTTAAAAAATAACCTATTAAAAGCATTTTTCTAAGTGAATTGTACAGTCCTCTGGAGTCAATCTAGAATAGGTAACCTTCACTTTCTTTGACACAGGCAAATTAACTAGAATAGGAAAGCTAAATGATCTTACAGGGTACTGAAATCCTCTAAGGATATTGGAAGAAGGTTAGCTAATATCACAACTGCTCCAATATCCAAAGACCCTCAGCGGTAAAAAGGCTCTGAGCATCAAAATTTAATACCTTTTGTACCTTATCAGCAGTGTAATATGCTCCAAACCCACTGACTTTGAAGCACGGAAAGGGGGGAATTAGAAAATACGGCTGAAACTTTGCAACGTGTTAAAAACATGGTGAGGGTATCAGTGGAGGTGTTAATGGGAGGCAATTGTACTGCTCTCAGGAGAAAAAAAGGCGGGGAGGGGAAGCAATTTTCAGAGATTTTTGGGCAGAGAGGTGGCACGACCAGTTAGGGTTAGGGCAACTGAAAAGCAACCAAGACCTTTAACAACTACTCATCTTTCTGAGGTTGAGGAAGGTATTGATTTTGAGTTCTCCAGAGAAACCAAGTGTTGCCTTGTGCAATTCTAGTTATTGTCATGCACAGAAGGAGATGCAAAACTGAGCAGGATTCTCTTCCAAGAGTTGTCGACTTACAAGGATCCCCAAGTTCACAACTAGCTACTAAAACGCACACTCACCAAACACCAACATTTGGAGTGATTTTAACAGCTTATACAATACAGAGCAACAAATGTGTACTGGGGGACTTCCTTGAGACATGGATCATAGAAGGTTATCATGTGCTCCACGGCTGAAAAGGGCATTTATTTCTGAAAGACGTTCTACAGAGCATAAACCTAAAAGCCCCACTGAAGTCCAATAAGCCTCCAGGCAACTAGTACCCTAGTTACGACACTGGGTTGAATGGAGCAGAAATTACCAGTATGTGACCTATGTGTCACTGTGTCACCTGGCCAGTTCAAAAGGAAGAATTGGAATAATCTGCCACAGAACCATTGTAATGGGACTTAAAGATACAAAACAAATTAATTACAGCCAACTTGCACGGAGATGCTATTTTAAATACAACAGCTCTGCCCCGTCTACAGTCTAACAGGACCTGACTAATGAGAGTTCCCTCTAGTGAGAGTGTCAATGAACAAACCAACCTGGGTGTGGTGTAACATATAGTTTACGGCTTCTTCAAAATATTCCAGGTGGAATTCCTTCATCTCTTTGGGGAGATCTTCATAGCCGTAGAAAGCCAGAGCCAGCACAGCAAAGCCATAGTTGGCCAGCAGGCATGCCCTGTATTCAGGGAGTCCTCCTCCAGTTCCATACAAGTCAATAATTCCCGGAAAGGGGCCATTTCCTGCAAGACACCACATAACAGGGCACATTAATCCACAATTTTTAATTTATATTCCAAATTCATAGGCCTGGGAATGTGTCTTTTTAAAAAAAAAACAAAAACACAGAGCAACAGAGTGGTACTAAGGGTCCTAAATTACTGTGCCAGTTTTCAGTAAATGGCTACATTGCTTCAGGATTAAACAAGACAGCACAAAATAGCAGGCCTGCTAATATTTTGGATAACATCAGGGAACATGTGGCTGGAAGGGAAGGGATCCCTTGACAGTCACAACTAGTTCTCTATATCATGTAAATTCATCGCAAAGGTATCAAGCTCTGCTTCAAAAATAGCCAGGAGGCTTCTCCCCAGTGCACTTCTCAGAAGACTGATCCAAAAAATCTCATCTTCTGATGGTTCCAGCTTCTTAGTTTCAGTGTAAATGTACTATAGCCATTTATTCTGGGATTAAGAGAAGAAAGTATTTGCAATCAGCCTTGCTAACCTGGTGAGGGAAGCTTTACATTATGTTCATCAAGGGACAGGGACTGAAGTCCAGAGCTGAGAGGGATTGCTGCAAACTGATTACAAAATATGGAAAGGAGGAGGCCAAGAGGGAGACTCCCACTCTTGCTCAGAAGGGAGGGTGAGGCTTCCCTCAGGCATCTGCAGATTAAGACGAAGAGCTTGAGGCACAAACAAGAACTGGAAATTCACCTCCAGCCACAGGGCTACAACACAATCAGAGTCCAGGACACTGGCTGGGATAGCACGTATGATTTTGGCACTATCATGGAGGAGTCACCAGGGACAGACAGGGAAGAAGGGGGAGAGGGGAAGGCAAGTGCTACGTAGAGGAGCTCCTTGAGTTCATGAGGTTCCAGAGACACGCTTGGTGAAAGCCTCTGGGCCACAGGGGGAAGGTAAGGTGGGATGTGGTAGTGGTATGGCTGCTACAGACCACTCAACCAAGAGGAGGCAAGAGACGAGGCTTCCTACAGACAACTAGAAGTCTGGACAGCTGCTGGGAGGACAACACAGCTTTTGTCAGGCAATCTGAAAACCTCACAGACCCTCTCAATTATTTTCTGACAAAAATACGGTAAGGGCAAACCTGTCTAATGCTTTGCTTCATCTGCTCAAAAACGGGGAGGAAGTAGAGACAAATGTGGCAGCAGAAGGCAGCTTGGGCTACAGCAACTATGACATTACTAAGTTCAGGATGTACAGAGAGGCTGGGAAGGGAAGGGAAGCAGCAGGCTTAGGACTTTAGACTTTTGGAGAGCAACCTTCAACTTACTCAAAGAATTACTAGCTGAATTCCCTGGAAAACAGCCAGGTAGAGGAAAGGTACCTTGAAGACTGGCTGAGACCACCTCCCACGTCATTTGGAAACAAAAAGGGTACTGTGATCAATGCCTTCATGTCCAATACTAGTCAATATAAGAAACTCAAGCATGTTTTAGCCCATGCAGCTGCACTACGTGAGGAGAGTAGCCAGCACGTCAAAGCTGCTCGGGCTGATCAGGCCGCTCCTTGAACAGTGCCCAGTGCCAGCTGGCGAGGTCCAGCTCCCCCTTGCCCTCTGCTTGGTACCGGGCTCAAGGGGAGCCTGGAGTGGGTCTGGCTCCGGGCC